ATCGTGGTGATTTCTTCTTAATACAAACGTAACGATTTTTAAGCTAAATTGTTGCAACAGGATGATTTTTACTCGCAAATTAAATTTAAACAGGCGCTTCTGCTTTAACCAAGCCACGCCTAATAACGCTGAGTAGAGTTTATTTCGCTCACCGTTTTGAGTACGAACGTTTTTGTTTAAAAAAATCTCATCAACTCTGATATACTTTTGGTGATAGAAGAAGGTTCCAAAGAACCACTTACGCCTCCCACCTCAATCTGTTCACTTTTATGCAAGACAATATACAGTACGCTGCTTAACCTTGAAGATCTACCTCCACCAACTTCTGAGAAAAAAACTTTTAGCGTCTGGCGTCGAGAAAAGTGACTTGACTAAAATCTACCTCCTACCATTCAAAGCCACGAGAGAAATGAAATTGACGATGTTGCAATACAAAAATCATTCAGCGAATTTTACCAACGAATAGCTTTTTACACAAAACGAAAAGAGTTGCCTCACCCTCCTGTCCCTTTTGTCCTCCTGAGTCTCAAACCCTGTGGCATTTGTTTATAAACTGCATGCACGCAAGTTCTTTTTTGAATAGATTCCAGGAGTGGTACTCAATCTCTAGTTATACGAAACTGCTGCTTTCAGAACTAGAGGCTATGTTCGGAATTATTCCCTGTCACACCTACTGTTTAGCTCTCAACCATCTCATTATTTTGGGTAACTATTTCTCATTTGTTAACGCTTTAAATACCATAACGTACCAATTCGATGATTTCGTCTCACTTGTGCGCGAAAAAATTAATCTAGAAAAATATGTTGCAGTCACTCGTAATAAGGAAAAGGAATTCGGGAACAAATGGAAATTTTTTCTGTCTTTGTAAAATTGTATTGTGTCCTTTTTCTTCTCAACTTTTGTATTATGATCTGTTTCTTTTCGCTACCTATTTATTTAGTAATTTATTGAATTATAGAAAATTAATACCCTATGTAATGTAATTAACAAACATTTCTTACTAGTGACTCGCACAATTAACATGCAAACAATAACGTAAATAGATCAACTGTAATTCAACTTGACTAGTGTAACTGTATTGTAATATATGTATTGTAAGTAGTGCAAGTTAATGTAGTGTAAGCATCGTGTAACAAGTAAGTATAGTGTAAGTACATATGTGAGTATAATCTTTTGGAAAAAAATTTAAAAAAAAAGGGATAGCATCTAATCATTTATTTAAATTAAATACTTGCAAGCTTAAGATAAATGATACAGTATTTCCTTGTCGGGCAAACGGTTTCTTATATAAAAAAAAAGTTTATCTTGTATGTCAACAAAAGTATTTTACCATTTCCTCAAGTTTCCAACATATTAAAATTAAAAAAAACCCAACCTTTTCGCAAGTCCGTCAGAAGAATTTACATTTTTATCAACGGTAAGCCTTAAATGCCAACGTACTACGCTCTGGAAATGGCCATACACGTCTGTGATAGACACCAACTCGTGGGAATGCACAGACAATCACTAATTCACTCACTTTAAAAGACTAATTTTTAAAGTTTCTTTTCAGTCAGAAAGTGGAAATCTATTTCCTTGTTTGAGGATATTTTTTGGAGAAGGTCACTGTTTTTTTTGCTTATTGTACTTTCCTGCACACTTCTTTTACAATGTTGGCCATAACCAGCAGTATAAAAATTGAAAGTTTTTTTGTTTTTTAACTAACAGTGAGTTGTTGGTTTCATTGAGCTGCAACGTTAGAAAATTTATCGTTTCTAACAAAAAGCCAGACATTTTATATTAGGAATTATTTTCCCTTTTTTACTTTAGTTTATTTCCAGTTTCTTGGGACCTTGCACGAAGAGAATTCTGTAGAATAATGTTAGTCAGGTGTGGTTTCTCGAGGTTTGCTGAGGATAGCTTATGCATCGATCAATTTGAAGCTTCAAAATTCCCTTATCCCCCCCCCCAACCCGGGCATTTGAACTTTCGAAAATTCTCGCCCCGAAAAAAAGATAAAAAATAAAAGATAAAATATGGTTTTAACCAAAGTGAAACGGAATCCAATGTATATACCAAACACCATTATAGTGTTTGAACTTGTGTTTAAACCAGCGATCTGCTCTATCAATTGCATGTAACTTTTCTACTCACAGGCTGGATTCATAAGAGTCCTTTTTTGATATTTTTCGTTCTCAAAACTGTAGGCAAAATCAATCTCTCCCAGCGTTAATGGCAGATCCATTGTTTATATTCAGTAGGTATAACCAAATATTTATCTCATTGCGACGATGTCGCCCAGAGATAATTGCTTTTGCCCAAAATCCAAAGTTACTTTCATAACGTTAGGAAAACCTCTAGAACTGATTTTATTATAGACGAAATGAGTACTTACACCTTTATTTCTGACCGGTAAGCTGAATTAGGAGCTGGTCCCAAATATAGCTAAGTCATCATAGACTAATTAATTTTTTCGTTTGACCTTTAAATTTCTCCCTCTTTTTTATCAATGAGATCAATTTTTCCATGAACAATCACTCTTCCAAGTAAATGGCAATTCCTGGATCGAGGTAACATTGGAGATATCAGGCTAACAAGATGGGGTAAATTTTTCACTCTTTAAGACGGCGCAACACATTCTTCGAACGTTGAGATAACTTTTCATATTCCCACATTTTTTCCAATAAATGTGAAGAAAAAGGGTAGTTTTTTTTCATTAATTTCAAGAGATGTTAAAAAATCTTTACGAAGGTCTCGGGTTGAAGTCATAAGAACACCTTCGATACGCCATGTTGCCGGGCTAGTATGGGCACACTAGGCCGGCTTTATCAATATTTTTTTCCCATGCAAAAACAATTGCAACTTTTTAATACCTAGTTCGTGCATGGATAGACCCTAAAATCCCCCTCCTGCCAAAATTCAGCCAAATCGGTGCGGTTGAGTGGCTGCGAATTTTTTGAAAAAGTTCGTAACTTACAGACTATTAGTCTTAAAAATCATTTTTTTCGACAAAAACAGTTTAATTTTTCCTTTTTTTTGATACAATCCATCTTCAATGTAAATTTAACTCACGCTCTATTTCTTTCTCATCTTTCTTATAGCTGGCGAACTTGAGCGATTTGAAGGGTTTGCTGGAAGGCAAATGTTTTCATTGATACTAGAACGCTTTCCAAACTATTTTGTGCTCTCCAAAATAGCCTTTATTTCGACAAATCAATAGTTTTCCTCTGAGTGTTTAGGAAAACTAGCGAAATTAATCAAATTTTGCGGGAAAATTTAAAAAAAATATTAAAAATCTTATTTTCCTCAGCATAATTGAGCATGTTCGTAAAAAACAATGTGTTAAGAGTAAACAATGAAAAGGTACAGAGGTAATCTGCAACCACTAAGTCTCCGACCACTCCGCGACTACTTAAGCACTGGATGTCGCAGAAATTTTGCGATCACTCAGCCACTGGATGTCGCAGAAATTCCATAAATACTCATCAAGTGATGAATACAGCAATTTAACAATCTTACGAAAACCAGTCAATAACAAATTCCATAACATTTGGTCGGTGATCCTTAATCACTCTATGATATACAATGATATAGTAAAGCTATCAAATGGCACAGAGCCACACTACTAAACAAGAGGAATCTTCTAAAATTTTGTAGTTACATTAATCAGTCAAGAAAGTAAGAAATACAATGTAAATTTCAAGTCACGCTCTTTATTTCATGATCTGATGAATGAAATGAAAAAATATGATAAATCCAAAGAGTTCAAATTTTGATATCTAGCAAACAAACAAGTTAGTCCCTCTTTAAACGAAAAATTTATAAACTAAGATAGTCAGTCCTTTTAACTATTGGAAAAAAAAATGCTTAAAAACTATAACTACTAAAAAATATCTCACTTTTATCTTGTATTTGCCCTACCCTGTAATGAAACCCTACCCTTAGCTCTCCATCCAAATAACCCTAAGTTACCATAGATCCATGCTATATTTCAGTAGTTTCAATACACGATGGCTTAGGAAATTCGACATGAGGGAAAAAATGTTGGTTTCTAAGTGAACCGAAATTTCCTACTATTTCACCGATAAAAATATTTAGTTATATATATATGTCTTACTTACGGCCCAGAGATTAGAGACCGGGATGAAATCGATTGCTTTTTAGGACTGCTAAAAAAAGATCCATAAATAGATATCTTTATAAAAGATTTAATCAATATAGGTGGCTGGAGTCATGTACCACAACTTGTTGAGTCGTGAATATGCCCTATTACAGGCTCTAACAAGATGTGAACGTTCATATTCATGACGACAAATTTTGAACAATGTCAAAGCAAAAAGAATACTTACCTTTGAACTAGACTCGACTCTGTAACTTTAAGTAAATTAATTGTAAACTCAACGTAAACAGAAGCCAGCGAGGAATGCACAGATGCAAAATTCCCAATAGTCCATTTAACAGTTGTGTGCTCGGTTGCCAATCCTTTAAACGGGGGTGAGGCTAAGGTTGACCTGGTTGTGATATAAACCTTGCTGCTTTTCAAATGTAAATCATGCTAACTAGATATAGTCCATGGGCTAGACAATCTCAGATGTACCATTCAGATGGACCAGCTGGGAGTGATACAAATTTGAAGCTTGGTTGGGGGCGATCACAAAAAGTTATGATAGGAAACCGGAAAGAGTAGCTGTCTTGTATATTTTAGGAGATGAAGTATCACAGAAATTCGCTTTTGCATGAGATGGGGGCTTGTGTTTAAAAGTCAGATTAAAATATGTAGCTGGACCAAAAATAATTTCAAACCTACATTCATCACATGACGACAAATGCATCAAAAATTTCAAATTTCAAAGACCGCCCTCCGCCTTGAGAAACCATCCAGTCTTAAGAAATAAAAGCATCATGGCCTCCACAACCTTGCGAGCCGACTGAAAATGCCGCGACCATTGTAGATGATCTCAAAGAGTTTTTTTTCACTCCACTGACCAGTAGCACCAGATTTCCAGGATTGCAGTCTTGTTCTGAAAAGGTTTCACGCCTCATCAACTCATTTGGTCAGGACTTGGTATTTGGTGCGATTGGTGGGCGACAAAGGCCCCCAAAGCAAGTTCTACTTTCATATGCCGTGAAATCTCTTGCCAACAATGTTGAACTCTTTCAAATCTTACACCGCTGTGGTCATGGAATTGCGTACCCCCAACTTGAAGAGATAAATACTTCGTTGTGCCTTCAAAAGCTGGCATCAACATCGCAGAACGAACTTCCTCTTCCCGACAACATCCGTCCGTTTGTCAGTACCACTCCACCCTGGGATAATATTGATTGTCTTGAGGAGACTTTTTTTGGTGAAGGTACGTCCCATGGAGTCAAGGGAATCGCGGTTCAAGCTAATCATTTTGGTCCTCATCCTCCATCAGCTTCGGCGCTGATCATCGTGAAATCGAAGAGGAGAGGTATCGAGTCACTGGATGACGAAACTCTATCTGTCTACAATGCTGATGAGCGCTGTGAGCTCCATTCTAGAGGATATATGGAGGTAAAGCTAAATCAAATCATGGAACGTGCATGGAAAAAGAACTTGTTATGGATTTTAGTACACATTCATGCAAGTGAGAAGCAATCTGTTCCTGGTTGGACTGGCTTCAACATTTTAGTACGTAGCGAGCACGAAGTTGCTAAGGATAACGTTGGTTACCCTCCAACAATCAATACTCCAGCGACGAACATGTCTACTGTGTACCAAGTCCTAATGAGGTCCATGCAGATCAAGGAAACTTTCAATCTCAAAAGCATAGCAGTTGTGTTTGATCATTATATGCTAAAGCTACTGAGATAAAGTGGAAACACAGAGAGCAGTTTACGGATGTTGTTTTGAGGGTGGATGTGTTCCATACCATTTGCACATTCTTGTCAGTGATTGGGAAACGTTTCCAGGATGCTGGTTTACGAGATGTGATAATCGAGTCCGGGGCAATTTCTGAAGGATCTGTATTTGGTGTTCGTACATATAATCGTGCTATTCGATTTCACAAGCTTATGTACGAAGCTCTTAAGAGCTAATGTCAACATGCATCACACAAACAGCGGCAAGTCGCCCAAATTCGTTTTCTTTCCTACTTTTATATTTTGTAGCCCAATATGTCCTAATAATTTTGGTGTGGTTTTTTTGTGAAAATGTATTTTAGTATTTTAGTAAATTAGTTTTTTCGTTCGATCGCTCAAATATGCAAATTTTCACATTGAATATTACCCGAGTTGTGTGACCTCATGTAACGAATTTACTTGACCTCCAGTATTTCTGTCGGCACGATCTTTTGTTTTATCATCTAAAAGTAATCCCCGGTCATTATTGAAGCTGGCAAAGAAATATCTATCTATTGGTAAATATTTTTGTCCGACATACTTTTTCTATGTCGAAAAGTATCATCAAAACAAAGACAGTTTTGACAATGACCGATATGACAGACTCTAC